GTGAATAGAAACAAGAGCTAATTTATTATGCACATATTATAAGAAGGTATTTTTAGTCAAAGAAAATAATCTATTAAGATATGCACAGCTGGGAAAATGAAAGGCTCTGACAACTTAGATGAATAGCTAAATATAAGGTAGAAAGATACCTCCAAGAGTAAAAAGAGAACTTATTATACTCCAAATGAGACATTATACAGAAAATCTGAAACCTTTCATGCACTGAAATGCACTTTTCACTCTGCTTATGAAGAGTTAACAAGTCCACATGAAAGGGAACACAAGGGGGTTTCTGATGTGCTATGTGTTCTATTTCTTTATACAAGTCACATGGGTGTGTTCAGTTTGTAAAAAATACACTTATAGTATGTGCACTTTCCCACAAGTATATTATACTTCAATAATAAGTTTAATGTTCAGTTCATGAACTGAAGAAAGAGAAAACACAAAGGAAAGCTAGCAAAAAGACAAGCACTAACAGTGAAAGGAATGTCTAGGGAAGGGCCCAACGTTAAAAGCTGACACTATTCCAGCTGGATCCCACTTCGCCCCAATTCCCCAAGCTCCAACGCTGGCCCAGACTACTACCAATGTATTTCTTGTTCTCTACAATCGAAAAACTTTCTGTTAATTATTCCTAAAGAAATCCTGTCTATTTCAAAGAAATGCTCAAAAACTATACAAGCAGTTTTCAAAGAGTTCACGGAAAGATTCATATTATCTTTTAATTCTATTTTTCCATGAACTTTTTGAAGTACCCTCATATCGATGCTTGAAAGCACAGAGGTGTTTAATTCACAAAATTCAAAGATCTTCTATGGAGAGGGAACGGGGAGAGCACAGCAGTGTTGAGAATGCCACACACACATCTAACCCGATACCATGGGCAACTCTAATGAAGACCCACATAACTGATAAAGAGAGCCCTTTCTAATCATTTTCCAATCAAGGTCTGATACTGGACAAAGAACACTTTCATTTATATAAACAAACAGAAAATACGTTCACATGCAGCAGACACTGAGAGAAAACCAGCCCCTCTGAAGAAAGGGCCCAAGTTGGGCATTAAGAGCTAATTGTTCCCACTGAGGGATATGGTATACAGAAGACAAATTTAACACAGAATTTTTGATAAAACAAGATCACATAATAGTTTTTATAATTTTCTTTTTTTCATTTAATCATATATTATGGGAATCTTTTCATTTATATCTCCAGCAAAATTGTTTTAATAGTTCGATATGAAAATATAGTTCTAGATATATAGATATTGAATAATATAGAACTATTAAAATATATCTTTTGAAATAAAAAGAAAAAGGAAGAGAGCCAAAGTACTAATCTCTCAGTTAACACAGACCTGTGCTGTCCCATATGCTAGCCACCACCACATCCCTCTTACACAAAAACCCATAAGCATTCAGAGGACATATACTTTACTCACCATAGACTTATTTTTTGTAGAAATAATTAAGCCTTATTTAAATTGAAGAGGGTCATTCACACAGAACACTAAAAATAAATCCCTGGAGGATTTGCTTACCTACTCTTCCAGGTGACAGATCAAAATTTATTAGTAGTAGTATTGTCAAGTTTTAAAATAGCACTTTGGAAAGATACTCCTCCACATCTGGAAGGCACCCAATAATACTAGGAAGGCCAATACTGCTTTCCAGGTAGGGTTTTATGATATCTGCAAGTTATACATATGTACTGACAGTCTTACTGACTTAATGAAGAAGTTAAATTTCAAATTGACAGGACCTGTGTCTTCATCTATTGAACATTTCAGAAAATAAGACTCAAATGGATTAATTCCGGAACCAGATATACTTTTAAGTGCTCAAGAACTTAATTGAAATAGGTATCTCAACCACATTATTATGTATTTCTCCAACAATAAATAGTCCTAGAGGTTACATCTCACACAACTTCTTCATGTATTAAGGGTTTTCCATTATGTCCACAGACAGAATTTCACCCTACAATTTCTTTAAATAAAACATTTCGTTTTTAGGTAACAAGTGTTTTTGGTATTATATACTGTTATCACGTGGCAAAGGATAAAAATGTACCTGAAAGTGATTTAAAAACTGTGAAATGATATGTGTAAATGTGTTCCATTATGGTTACTGTTGTAAAGAGTGATTTTATTTGGAGGGTCTCTAGCAGGAGACTACTTGAGCTTAATCATTTATTTATGATTCAGAATCAGATTAGGAAAGTAATTCCTGGGCCGGCCCGGTGGCACACTGCTACAGTGCACCACTTGGGAGTGCGGTGGCGCTCCCGCCGAGGG